ACCTACGTTCCTGCATCCGCACCTGGCCTGCATCTGAATCTCCTGGGTCCCCAACTACCTGCCGCCAGCTTCAGATCTACCTGGCACTCATGCCACTCCTGGCTCTGCGCCTTCTGTTCCCACTATCAGGGGCTCCGAGCGGTAGTCGTAACAGGATGCCTTCTCTCCACATCAGGCTCCCCAACCAGGTACATGACAGGCACCTTGAAACAAATGTTTCACTCTTTTGTGGAATCTCAGGGAAAGGACTGGAAACGATATCTGCTTCATCTGATATTTGCTTACAAAGAGGTACCCCAGGAGTCCACAAGTTTTTTCATCCTTTGAACTTCTGTACGGGCAGAGGGTGAGAGGGCCTCTGGACCTAATCCGTGAGACCTGGGAGGGCAAAATTGTGGACCCAGAGGTCTCTGTTGTGGATTATGTGCTAAAATTCAGGGATAAAATGGAGGCGCTGCTGGGAATGGTACAGGAAACTATGGCACAGGCCCAGACCAGGCAGAAATGTTGGTGTGACCGTAATGCCAGAGAGAGGACATACAACATTGGTCAGGAGGTATATCTTCTGCTTCTCCTGCGGCAGAACAAACTTCAAGCTGCCTGGGAAGGCCTGTACACTATCACCCAGTGTCTGAATGATGTCACCTACTTGGTCAGGTTGGGGGAAGGGAGCAGACGGCAGAAGGCCTTCCATGTGAACATGATCAAAGCCCACCATGAGCGTACGGCATATGTCATGCCACTCTGCAGCCAACCAGAGCCCGAGAAGACTGACCCACTCCTAGACCTGCTAGCTGACATCAGGGAGATAGACTCAGGCCTCTCGATCAACCCCCACTCAGGTACCTGGGCTGGAGAGAGAGAGTGCTGGCAGTATATGGGGGCAGGTTTATTGGGAAGCCTGAGAGGACTCACCTCCCTGTCCACAAAGTGGACACGGGCCCATTCCCCTATTAAACAATCGGCCTATAGCGTCCCACTGGAGGTGCTGGCTGATATGAAAAAGGAGGATGAGGAAATGCTGCAGCTGGGGGTGATTCAGAAGTCCCACAGTGGTCCGATGAATTGTTGGATAGGCTGGTGGCTGCCCGCTATATCACAATCATGGATCTGAGCAGGGGGTACTGGCAAATTCCTCTGGTGCCTGAGGCTCGGGAAAAGTCTGCCTTCATCACCTCATTCGGCTTATTCAAATTCACTGTTATGCCATTTGGGATGAAGAATGCCCCAGCTAGCTTCCAGAGAGTCATGAATGATTTACTGGAGGGGCTGGAACCCTTTTCAGTAGCCTACCTGGACAACATCTCCTTGTTCAGCCCCACCTGGGAAGAACATCTGGTGCATCTGTCACAGGTTCTGGACAAACTGACAGCCGTCAAACCCAGTAAGTGTCAAATAGGCATGACAGATGTCTAGTATTTGGGACACCAGGTAGGAGGAACCCTGAGACAGGGAAGGTAGAGGCCATCCTGGCCTGGCCTACCCCTCAGACAAAAAAGCAAGTTATGTCATTCCTGGGGACAGCCGGTTACTATAGGAAGTTTGTATGTAACTATAGTAGCCTGGCAAAACCTTTTGACTGACTACAAGGTGGTGTCTTGGACACCAGACTGTGAGAAGGCATTTCAGGCCTTGAAGGCAAGCGCCCCTGTACAGGCTCCAGACTTCATATGCCTTTTCCTAGTGCAGATGGATGCAAGGGCGGACTGACAACTCATAGGGCCCCCGGGCAATAGGGGATCATGGGGCCCCTGTGTCCTTGCCCAAACTCAAAAAAGCCTATGAAAAAGGTACCAGGGTCATCTCATGGGGCCCCCTACTGACCCCGGGCCCTCAGGCAGTGCCCGAGTTTCCAAATGGTCAGTCCACCCCTGGACGGATGCCTCTGAATATGGATTGGGTGCAGTCCTGAGCCAGGTGGATGTGCAGGAGAGGAACACCCCATCCTCTACCTGAGCCGGAAGCTGCTTCCCAGGGAAGTAGCATACGCCACGATCGAAAAGGAGTGTGGGCTCTCCAGAAGTTGCAAATGTACCTTTTTATAGGCGGCACTTCATGGTGATCACAATCCTCTGAGCTGGTTAAATCGTGTTGCTGGGGAGAATGGCAAACTGCTTCGGTGGAGCCTAATTCTTCAGCCAGAAAATTTCACCATACAGCATAAGAAGGGCAGAACCCATGGTAACGCTGATGGGTTATCAAGACAGGTCAAGCCAGCAGGAGTCAGTTGTGTCAGAAGGGAAATTGCAGTTCCCTCCCATGCAACCACCTGAGGAGGGAGGTGTTATGATTGTGGGCAATAGAGACATGGACGCTGTACGTGACAGCCATCTTGTTAGGCCTCAGCCATTTTGTCTCTTCTGTCCTCCCTCCCTCCCTCTTGAAATGGAATTTGTAGCTGCAAGTTGAACAGACTTCAAAAGGGCCTCTTATCTTAAATAAAACACAGATAGATGAAGCTCCAGGGCTGTAAACCACTAATTAGTCTGGTGCAAGAGGTCTGCTTTGAAAACTACTTTCCTCTGCCCAATCGTAAAACAATAACTCTGTCAAAATTGTATATAAAGACTTTTCTTTAAACAAAATCATATAAATATCCCAAATATCAAAAACAGACCCCACTAGTGTAAACAAAAATGTTCAATAAAGTCTCTTTTTTTTTTTCTTCTTTTCAACGAAAAATTCTTTTTCTCAACACCCGCAAATTCTGATGCCAATATACCTCAAAAAGAAAAAACTTAACATAGTGTCATATCTTTATGGTAATAAATACACACGTGCCCCTTACAGTGCACCATGCAATACTTGTGAGGCACTCCAAAGCAAACAACAAACACGAAAAAAAAAAAAAAAAGTGTTACTCTCTATGCGAATATCTGCATATACGCATATATTTTAAATCTCTGTATCAGCAAATACTTAACCAGTGAAACATACACACATCATATCCACTATGTGAATCTGTGAAAACAACTCAAGTTTTAACACTGCGACTGTGTAACACCACACTCTATATATCAGTGATCCTACACACATCCCCATCCAACTCGTGTGCTAAATGGATAATTACCCTATATATCCAAAAACAGGGCTTGATACAAATCTCCTTAACTGTAGAATTCCATCCAGTATTAGATCCAATAAAGCAATTTTTCTTCCATTATTACAGTTAGAGTATAGCAGCTCCTCCTCATAGAGATACACATGCAGACAGACTAGGGAACACTGGCCACATGTTCCCACTTCCAAGATGGCCACGATCGCACTTCCTGTCAACGTCAATGCGTCTGACGTCACGTGTCCTGAAGTGTTTTGTCACTTCCTGTGACTTTTTCAAAAGGATGATCCTTTTGAAAAAGTCACAGGAAGTGACAAAACGCGTCAGGACACGTGACGTCAGACGCATTGACGTTGACAGGAAGTGCGATCGCGGCCATCTTGGAAGACATTGCTAGTTTGTGAGTTTCCTCTTTCTCTGTACAAAAAAGGTGGTGGTGGCAGTGTGAAGGGTTAATTACGTAATTAACGTGACCCAGTAACAATTGCTCTCAGGCTGCTGGCACATAGATTGTAGTCCCCCAAGCTGGGAAATCTTTGTACAGGGTGCAGCTGAGAGTGGCATTGTTACGCAAGTGACAGCGAGGTGCGAGACCGGCTGGCCCTTTGGTAACGAGTTGATGAGAAGGGCAGGGGTCGGACACCGCATATCGTCACATTCCCCTTAGCCCCCCTCCTTAAATCAAGGTTCCCTTAGACCCCTTCCTTACATCAGGGTCCCCACTCTTACATCAGGGTCCCCTTAACCCCCCTTCTTACATCAGGATTCCCACAGTCTCCCTCCTTACATCAGGGTCCCTATTGTCCCCCTCCTTACACCAGGGTGCCCACAGTCTCTGTGTCAGGGCTCCAGGGTATGACCAGAGGTGTGTGACTGACGCAGGGAAACGCAGACTTCAGATATGTTATAAACAATATAATTTATTCAAGACTAACAATACAAACATAAACGCAGTGCAATACTAAAACATAACACAGTGCAAACAAACCAAACCAACCACCCACAGATGACAGTACATACAATGCAAGCGTCGTCAGGCAGGCCGGGTCAATATCAATCGGGCAGGTAGGTACAGGGGGAGCAAGCGGAGAATGGTCGGGGTCACAAGCCAGGTTCAGCAGGTAGCGGGCAGCATGGTACAGAGGGTCAGGCAGAGGAGAATGGTCAGACAAGCCAGGGATCAGGAGCAGGAGAAAGGTCAGACAAAGCCAGGGATCAGAGCAGGGTCAGCAACGAATCAGACAGGAACAGGGAGCAGGAACAGGATACAGGGCCCAGGAGAAACACACACCAAGGCAGAGTCTGCAGGTCTGGCCATCCCTTAAATACACCAGTATAATCAGTTCCAGGTGTTTGACTGGCTGCAAGGTTGAGTCTCTGATTGCTGGGAGCACCCGCTGGCCAGCCCTGGTACTGCAGCTCATAAGGCAGGTGAGTCCCACCATTGCTGGCCAGTCCATTCCTGACAGTACCCCCCCCTCAAGGAGCGGCCTCAGGATGCTCCAAACAGTCCTAGCTGGGCAAAATCTTCCACCGCCCGGGTCTGGTAACTGGCGGGATATCAAAGACTGGCACACCGGGCAGGACTCCGGGCAGCGGCACACCGGGCAGCGGCACACCGGGCAGCGGCACACCGGGCAGAGGCACATCGGGGAGAACTCCGGGCAGAGGCACACCGGGCAGGGGCACACCGGGCAGCGGCACATCGGGCAGGACTCCGGGCAGTGGCACATCGGGCTGGACTCCGGGCAGCGGCACATCGGGCTGGACTCCGGGCAGCGGCACATCGGGCTGGACTCCGGGCAGCGGCACATCGGGCTGGACTCTGGGCAGAGGCACATCGGGCTGGACTCCGGGCAGAGGCACATCGGGCTGGACTCCGGGCAGAGGCACATCGGGCTGGACTCCGGGCAGAGGCACATCGGGCTGGACTCCGGGCAGAGGCACATCGGGCTGGACTCCGGGCAGAGGCACATCGGGCTGGACTCCGGGCAGAGGCACATCGGATCACCAGGCTGAGCAGCAGGCACCGGGCCCCCAGGCGGAGCAGCAGGCACCGGGCCCCCAGTTGGAGCAGCAGGCACCGGGCCCCCAGGCGGAGCAGCAGGCATCGGGCCCCCGGGCGGAGCGGCGGGCGCCGGACCCCCAGGCGGAGCGACAGGTCTCGGGCCCCCAGGCGGAGTGGCGGGCGCCGGACCCCCAGGATGAGCTACAGGTCTCGGGGCCCCCAGGCGGAGCGGCGGGTGCCGGACCCCCAGGTGGAGCGACAGGTCTCGGGCCCCCAGGCGGAGCGGCGGGCACCGAGTCACCAGGCACGACAGTGGGCTCCGAGTCAACGGGCATGACCGCTGGCACTGGGTCAGACATTGGATCGTCTGGCTGGACAGCGGGCATCGGGTCACCAGGCATCAGGTAATTTGGCTCGACAGCGGGCACCGCGTCATCTGGCAAGGCAGTGGGCTCCGAGTCAACTGGCATGACCGCGGGCACTGGGTCAGACATTGGATCGTCTGGCTGGACAGCGGGCATCGGGTCACCAGGTATCAGGTTATTTGGCTCGACAGCGGGCACCGGGTCATCAGGTACCAGATTGTCTGGCTTGACAGCGGGCATCGGGTCACCAGGTATGACAGCGGGCACTGGGTCACCAGGCATCAGGTCATTTGGCTCGCCAGCGGGCACCGCGTCATCTGGCAAGGCAGTGGGCACCGGGTCACCAGGCATTGGTTCGTCTGGCTGGACAGCGGGCATCGGGTCACCAGGCATCAGGTCATTTGGCTCAACAGCGGGCACCGCGTCATCTGGCAAGGCAGTGGGCACCGAGTCAACTCGTATGCCGCGGGCACTGGGTCAGACATTGGATAGTCTGGCTGGACAGCGGGCATCGGGTCACCAGGCATCAGGTCACTTGGCTCAACAGCGGGCACCGCGTCATCTGGCAAGACAGTGGGCACCAAGTCACCAGGCACGACCGTGGGCTCTGAGTCAATTGGCACGACAGCGGGCACCGGGTCATCAGGTACCGGATTGTCTGGCTCGACAGTGGACATCGGGTCACCAGGTATGACAGCGGGCTCTAAATCAATTGGCACGACAGCGGGCACCGGATCAGGTATCGGATCGTCTGGATCAACAGCGGGCATCGAGTCAACTGGCTTAATAGGATCATCAGGCTGGATCAGTTCATCATGCTGGGTAGAGGCATCAGGCTGAGCGGAGGCATCAGGCTGAATACAGGCATCAGACTGAATACAGGCATCAGGCTGAATACAGGCATCAGGCTGGGTACAGGCATCAGGCTGGGTACAGACCTCAGGCTGAAGTGCGGGTGCCGAGGCACCAGGCTGAACCACAGAAGGCAGGTTCTCAGACGGCAGGCTCACTGGTTTGGATACTGGCAGGATGGTATTGGTTGGAAAGAATTTTCGCTTTTTTCTGGTTTTAACTACTGGAGCACTGCAAGTAAACACAGGTCTGCAAACGAATGGAGCAGCTGGAGACAGAGAAGAGCTGGAGGATGGAACAGAGGAGGGAGCAGTTGCTACAGAGGGCTTTTTTACAGGGTTAAAGGCAGGATAGGTGCAGCGAGTGGGAACAGGGTACTGACATGCGGTAGATAGCAGGGCAGGAGGAGCTGTTGGGAATGCAGGAATAGAGCTTTGAGGAAATGGATTAGAAGCAGGACTGGGTTTTTGTAAGCTGACTGAGGCTGGGTGCAACAAATCTGTCCATGTCTGCAGTATGGGTTGAACAAAGCTCAGCTTACACAAAGCCTGTCTGACCAAAGACTGCACTGCGTTTATACAATCCCTTAATACCTGCGGCGAACATGCAGAATAACTCCAGAAAGTAATCCACATCATCCTCTAATAACCATACCAGGGACTCTACCTGGTCGGCACTAAATGGCGGCAAAAATTCATCCCTGCATTCGGGGGTACCAGATGAAACCAACTCAGCACAAACCTGAATCAATGGCTGCACCTCAGAGAATTCTGTGCCCTGATCTACTAGAACCTGAGCGAGCCGTATACATTCTAGCAGTTCATCCCTGGGATACTCCTTCAGAGCCTGATAAGCATATTCTTTGTCATCAAACACTAGCAGATATAAATACTCAACTTCATCAAGATCCATCCTTCCCATCAACAAACCAAGATGGCTTCCCTGTGCAGCCACTTCTGGTCAGGATTGGCCTTGGTGTAATGTCAGGGCTCCAGGGTATGACCAGAGGTGTGTGACTGACGCAGGGAAACGCAGACTTCAGATATGTTATAAACAATATAATTTATTCAAGACTAACAATACAAACATAAACGCAGTGCAATACTAAAACATAACACAGTGCAAACAAACCAAACCAACCACCCACAGATGACAGTACATACAATGCAAGCGTCGTCAGGCAGGCCGGGTCAATATCAATCGGGCAGGTAGGTACAGGGGGAGCAAGCGGAGAATGGTCGGGGTCACAAGCCAGGTTCAGCAGGTAGCGGGCAGCGGGTACAGAGGGTCAGGCAGAGGAGAATGGTCAGACAAGCCAGGGATCAGGAGCAGGAGAAAGGTCAGACAAAGCCAGGGATCAGAGCAGGGTCAGCAACGAATCAGACAGGAACAGGGAGCAGGAACAGGATACAGGGCCCAGGAGAAACACACACCAAGGCAGAGTCTGCAGGTCTGGCCATCCCTTAAATACACCAGTATAATCAGTTCCAGGTGTTTGACTGGCTGCAAGGTTGAGTCTCTGATTGCTGGGAGCACCCGCTGGCCAGCCCTGGTACTGCAGCTCATAAGGCAGGTGAGTCCCACCATTGCTGGCCAGTCCATTCCTGACACTCTGTGATGGGAGTCACTTTGGGTGGGGGGCCCATGGAACACAGCTCACTTTAGAGAGGTGGGGAGACCCCTGTCTCAGCTCCCCATATCCCTATTATGTGTAAGTCACCCTGTGCATGTTAGGGGCACAGGGTGATCTGTCCTAATATTGGGGTGGGGGGGGTTGTTGATTGTTTAATGCCATGTTCTATTGTGTGTCTTGCTTGGGAGAAAACTATTATGGGATGTATGTGTTTATGTGTATTAGCTTAGTGGGGGGTGTCTCCAGCAGCCCTCCCTCCTGATGGGACTGTCTGCTGGTGTGAAGTTTGAATACCTGTGTCTCTTGTTGCGAAGTGTAGATTGCCCCGCCCTGTGTCATAATGCAGGGAGGGGGGATTGTCCCCTGAGTATATAAAAAGCCAGTTCGAGTTTAAAAAAAAAAAAGTGTTCCATGTTCAGACAGATTGGTGTTGTCTAGTCTTGTTTTGTCAGCTGTGGTGTCTGTGGTCGGTGTTCGGATGGGGAAGTGGTATTATAACGGAAGTACCCAAACGCAGACTGGGTCATTTCCGTTACAGTCCCCTTCCTTACATCAGGGTTCCCTTAGGCCCCATCCTTACATCAGGGTCCCCATCCTTACATCAGGGTCCCCTTAGCCCTCCTCCTTACATCATGGTCCCTTTAGCTCCCCTCCTTACATCAGGGTCCCCATTGGCCCCCTCCTTACATCAGGGTGCCCACAGTCCCCCTCACATCAGGGTCTCCATAGTTCCCCACCCTTACATCAGGGTCCCCACCCTTACATCAGGGCCCCCCTCCTTACATCAGGGTCCCCTTAGCCCACTTCCTTACATCAGGGTACCCACCCTTACATCAGGGTCCCCACAGCCCCCCTCCTTACAACAGGGTCCCCTTAGCCCCGTCTTTACATCAGGGTCCCCACAGTCCCCCTCTTTATATCCGGGTCCTCACAGTCCCCCTCCTTACATCAGGGTCCCCTTAGCCCCCCTCCTTACGTTTTTTTTTTTCTGTGAACCAGAGGTTTGCTAGAAGCTAGGGATGAGTCATCCTGGAAGTGAAGCAGTGAGGTTACCTCAGGTTAGGGCTTCTGGGGCCCTCCCACCGTTCTAGAAACTACTGAGTAAGACCACCCTTAAATGTAAGAGAGCCTGAACAGCAGGGAAGTCAGGTGGAAGATGGACTGAAGGAAGGTGAAGGGGAGTCAGGTGGAGTCTGGGATGGGGCCCCAGGGAGCGGGGCCACCTACAGGCTGGAGAAGACAGAAGGATCTCCACTGCCCTACAGTCTCCCAGAGAGGACAGTCTGTCAGCAGGCAAGGTGCTAGCCCAGCGTAAAGGCCTGAAAGCAGCTGCAACCCACTAAGTTACAGGAAAAGGGTGTGAGTACTTCTACACCCCTTGGGCCACAGAAGGGAGAGGGCAGTCAGGTGCAATACCCAACTAGTTCTCATCTGAGACTACTCTGCTGTAGATCTTGGAACCCCTTGCCTAGGGAAACCCTCAGGACAGCCAGGTGAATAAGGAGTTTCATCTGAGGTGGTACACCAAAGGGGACTCGGTGCTCCTTGCTAAAGACTATTGCTGATTTTTGGTCCACATTTTTGTACAATTTTGCTGAGAAGTTGCCCTCAAGCTTTACAGTTCCTTGGGTGTCCCATGTACCCCTAGACCCCATCCATGTTGTTAAACCTTAATAAAAACAAGCTCAATTAGTTCAAGCAACATGTCATCAGGTGGAGAGGACCCCTCTCATTCCTGTGGTGTTCCCTGCTACTTGAGTATTTCCATATTCTGTGTTTGTTTGATCCTGTCTTTGTTCTCAGTGTTTTTCCCTCTGGCTGTGCAGTTATATTCCCTTTGGTTTCTGTCCTTGGATCCCTTCAGTTCCTGTTTTCTGGAGAGGTTTTGGCCTCTCCACTGAGGGAAAAAGTTGATCCAGTAACAATATCACATCATTTCTTGTTCTCTTTATAAAAAAAAATTTGTCGAGCCAGGCCATGCATCCTCCGCTGCAGGCGCACTTCACCTCCATCAAGGCAACCTCACTGTTGGACAGTACGCCATTCAGTTTTGCACTCTAACAGCTGAACTTTCCTGCAACAATGAAGCACATACGGCGGCCTTCTGGCAAGATTTGGCAGAAAATATCAAAGACAAATCGACGGGTCGAGAAATTCCTACCATCCCACAAAATCTAATTTCTTTGGCCGTCCAGATTGACACCCATTGCCAGGACCACTCCCAGGAAATGGCTCGGCACTACAAATTCTCGGCTCCTGTCACGTACCTGATTGGAGAATGAAATGACGAGGTCGGCCTCACTTGTGTCACTAGCCCTGACCCCACTGGAAGTGGAACAGCGGGTGTCTAGGGACCAGGGGGACAAGAGCGCCAGCAGATGTTGTTTTGCAGCTCTTGCAGCTGGAGACTTTGGAAGACTGATGAACGTCCGATTCAGGAACAATAGTAATATGCAGAGTTGGTATGGTAGGTTGCCAGGTGTGCACCAGAGCAAGACAGGAAGCTGGGATGGGAGACAGGAGCAATGTCATAGGAATAGCCGGGGTCATCAACGAGCGGACAGTGAAGTACCAAGTCATAAGCAAGCCAAAGTCATGAGCAGAGCCGAAGTCAGGAACAAGTATCAAGAAGGAGAGTAATCATCAGGTCAGAAACAAGCCGGGTCAGCAACAAGGAAATCACACAGGAATGAGCAGGAAACGGGGAACAGCTGAAGACCATTCAGCACTCAGCACAGGCAGAGGCACCTTTTAAATAGTCTGTCTGGCGCCAATCTTCGCCGTGCGCATTTCTGTGGTGTCTCCAGCGATCTCATGGGAATTCCCTTACATTGCCCCCCCCCCCCCCTTAGGGGCAGCCTCCGGATGCCTACTAAAGCTTGTTTTTCAGGATGAAGATGAAGGTAAGCTTGCACTAACCGTGGAGCACGGACATTAGCTCATGGTTCCCAGGAATTATCCTCTGGACCGTAGCCTTTCCATTTTATGAGGAACTGGGTCTGACCACCCCTCTTTCTGCAGTCCAGG